AATAAGATTTCTTAGAAAAGACACTACCATATTCCTTATGATTTTAGGCTCCTAAGTGGATTAAGAGAGACAGCTTGACTGTCAAGTGACTTACCTGAATTGATTTTGCAGTGAAGTCCATAATGGAAGCAAGGAACTTATAGTTCACTTGTTATGACACATTGGAAAAAGAGCTCCTGGCATTCGATAGAAAAGAGGGAGACTTGACAGCTCGTATTTATATCTCCAGATTTTTTTACCCGCTGTCCTTAAGTGACTTACCAGAATCAAAAAGATTAGTGCTGGAATATGTAATAAGTAATTTCTTATTCCACAGTTGATATCCTGGCTTATAGGTAAGGGCAATATAAGGAATTTTGGAGCCAATGCAACACCAGGTTTAGATCCCTCACATAGCTCTAGACTAATATTTCAGATAATTCCTGCAAAATAAGATGTTTGAAACTATGTATTCATAATGAACACCCATAGAACCTGAAGTAAAAAAAGTAAGGTTGCATGTAGAATTTTCATGTTAGATAACAAAAAATCGTACACAATAAAATTCTACTTAGGGTAATTACTGCATTGGCTTAATTTACCCACTGGCTAACGTGATGCTGCATTAGACCAGACAGCCCCCCCCAAAAAAATTCCCATTAAATCTACCCTGTGACTAACATGGAGGTCTGCCTTCCTATGGGCAGACCTGCCCACTCAAAAACATTTTTGGAACCTAATGAAGCTGCCTAGGCTGTGACCCCACATAGACTAATAAGGGGACTCATTTGGACATGCCATGGTCACTAAGTGAAAAAACACATGAATGTGTCAGACTTACAATGTTATTTCCTAGTCAGTCATTGAATCACTTCAGTTGTTAAATGAAACATCATGTGATCATGACTTGCAATTTTACTACTAGATTCTCCATTAACTCTGTGTGTCCCAAACTGGTTAGGAAGCCCTCAAATGGTGCTGAAGTTGTCATAAATGCTCACTAGTTGTGATGGTCGTAAGTGCAAAGATTGGTACAAAGCTATTGTTTTAAGGATTGGTCACAAAGCTGTGATCACAATTTTAATCACTAAATGAAGTAATCAATATATAAGGACTCTCTCTGGTTTTCCTCCAGGATGCTATAAGGCATTTTGGTATGCTATTTCCTAAGAAGAGCTATTAGCTTCAACACAGATGTTGTGTAGAAGATAAGTTTGGCATTAGAAAGATACTAAAGAAAGAAAGCTGCAGTAACTCAGTACTAGGGTATTTTAGAATACTTGATTGAAATTTCTCAAAAGTTTTATATCCCTGTGAAAGAATGTCCGCTTTCTACAGCTATTTGATTTTCATGATAATTAAGAAGTGGTAGCATGGTGGTTAGAATGCAGTATTGCAGGCTGACTCTGCTCACTGCCAGGAGTTTGATCCTGATCTGCTCAAGGTTGACTTAGACACTTGGTGGTACATTTTGAGTTTATTTTCCTGTTGGCAGGGTATTACTTAACTGATTTGACCTAGCTTATGCAAATGAGTTGCTAGATGTCTTCTTTTAAATTACATCTTGTAATTTTTTAAAAAACTAAATTCAATAAAGCATGCAGTTTTTATAGTGCTATTGTAAACATACAATATTTACAATACTATTTGATTCTATTCCTAGTGTCCCCAAATAATTATAAAAGGTAATTATAGTATTAGCAAGTGATGAAAATATCCTGTTCCAGAGTCGAATAAACTGCTCTAAAAAGCCCACAAATTCACTTGCTGTTATGCAATTTCCTTTGAAGTGCCCAGTAAACTACTTCCTTTGGATAGAACTATGCAAAGTTTTGATAGATTCCCCTGGTTGACTCTGAAATGTCGAACAGTTGGGGAATTTAAATGTTACAGTGAGCCAAAATGGTAAAGAATTCTGGCTTATTCATAAGTAAGATTTCTTCTTTTTGGTTACTTCTGGATAGCACCATCCATGATTTTATTTAAAATTACATGCAAATCAACAAGTCTGAATTTGTGCCAACTGTAACAGGCAAGAATAAAAAGGCCCAGTATTAACCATGGTTTTTGAATCTGCTTTGTTAAGTGTGAAGCAAGCCAGAGCTTTTGGTCTGTCATAAAGTTGAACAACTCTTAAATGTAACTATCCATGCCTTCAGTTCAGTCAAATAAATGATACATGCATAAACTACCACTGTCCTCACCCAAGGTACAATTTAGAAATATATGTAGCTCAGTCAGCTGCAGTGACCAGTACTAGGTACGGCTGTTTTAAGAACCTCTGAAAACTGTGCAGTTAAGTGTTATTCTAAACATTTAACGCTCCTTGCTTCACACATTGCCATCGGCTCTGTTTTACTGTTTTCAAATGGAAGAATCTTAAGAAGGGCTGGATAACCATGTATTGCATGTCATGGTGGTGCAGTGGTTAGGATGCCCATAGCCAAGAGTTCGATTCTGACTGACTCAAGGTTTATTCAACCTTCCATCCTTCCGAGGTCAGTAAAATGAGGAGTCAAATTGTTGAGGGCAATATGCTGACATTTAAACTGCTCAGAGAGTACTGTAAAGCACTATGGGATGGTATATAAGTCTAAGTGCTATTGCTATTGCTGTTGCTATTGTTATGGCTCTTACACTTGCATGGCTTCCATTTAAAAACAAGTAAGACAAGAACTGATTGTGAGGAACATGGGTTTGAGCAGCTTGTTATGCTGAATGGTGAGCAGCTGTGTGCTATTTTTCTTTAATTACCAATATGGGCTAATTAAATCTCATAGCTGTGCTGGTATATTTGGGTGTATGGATATAAGGGTGATTTCATCCCAATCACAGTAAGGAATAAACCCCCCCTTTCCTCATTGCCTGTGGTCCCATTAGCAGTTGAATTGCACAGCACTAATGAAGATATAGTTGTATGCTGTGCTTTCTGCATAATGTGCAGTTTGTCACTTAGGCAGGATCCTGCTACGTTTCTGTTTCCTTTTTTTTTTTTTGCTAGTGTTCTGTGGTAGATCACTGAGAAAAATGAGCCAGTTACTATCCTCCCAAACTCTTAGCTAAAAATTTAACTTCTTTTTTTTTACCTCTCAACTCCTTCCCTGAGGGGAGACAGTAAGGGAGGTAGCTCAGCTGTTTGTTGTCTCAATTACATCAGATATTTCTGTAGTTAATTATAAACATTTACATTATTCTAGGGAAACCTCTCTGGATTTGCATTTCCTTTATACTTAGTTCAAACTGTGTTCTGATTTATTTACTTGCTGAGGAAAAGAAAAGGACTCTTACCGTCCTTAAGAGACTGCAATTTTTTTGAGGATCAATTGGGTAGAGAGGCAGAGAAAAGAGTTTGTCTGTTTGACTTTTACATTACCCCTAACTAGCAATGACTTTAAATCTGCTTTAAACATATAGATAAATTTACAATGTATTAATATATGATTGGATATATTGAATGGAATGAGAAATTACCTGACAGCAAAGTGATCATGTTTCTTTTAACTGCATAATTAAAAAAATACAAATGACTTGATTGTGAGTTATTCATATACGTACCCTTTTTGCATAAGAATATAAAAACAATGTCCCTCAAATTTCACTGGAAGCAAAGTTAAATATTGTACTCCTACAGACTTCAGAGGAAGGCAAATAGTATTGTCAAGTAAAAACTTTTTGTGTTTGTTTTTTTAATCAAAAATTCACATAAAGGGGAATAAAAAGATGTGCCCTTCTGAAAATGGTGTGCAAATAGCAATATAGTTTTCTGTGAAAAGAACTTATATGGAGGGATATGCATTTTTAGAAAAATAATCAAGGAAATTTACATATCAGACAAATAAAAAGAAGGTAATTGTATTAAAATTGCTTCTTGAGCAATTTGCGTCATTAGAAAATAATACACAGAAAACCTTTGTATGATAAACTTGAAGACATTGTGAGCATATGTTGCTATGAATTTTTCTGTGAGTTTCAAAAATTCAGTAGGAAATATAAAGGCAAACTAAACACTGTAGTACTGTTACAGATAATAAAGCAATTTTTTAAGCTATTTGGCATCCATACTGACTGAAGCTATTTTTTTAAAATTTCAGAACCTTTGGGTAAATTCACATCTTTATTTTCCAGTGATAAGACCTCATTTAATATGTGTGCCTATGGGAACTAGTTCTGAAACTCTGATAATACAAGGTTATAAGTAGAATTACTCCCCATCCCATCATACATTTGAATACTGATTTTAAAAATTTGAACAGGCAAAATAATCAGACAAAATCAAATGATCTTAGACCCTCCAGACTTAAGGAATATTAGTGCCTGTTGAACAGACTGCAATAAAGTAAGAGATTGTAAAAATACTAGTAATCAAGTTGACTGTGGGGAGTGATAAATTACGAGCAGTAATTCAGCCAGCACACCATTGATTACAAGTGTGATAGCATCTGGAATGCCTGTGCAAGTCCTAATTCCAGCACTGTGTGCTAAATTTTGGAAATACACACATGCTCTTGAAATCCGTAATGCATTTTCTTGTTTTGGGGGATTCTGATAAGGCAGAGTTCAGATTGTATGGAAGCTGGTGAATACGTTCAATCAAATGCTCTTATAGGCCCCATATAGATCGAGACATTTATAGATCTAGACATCTAGACAGAAATAGACATTTGTATGCCTGAAGGTGTTGAGGGCAAGACATGTACATATGCTCTTATTGCATCAAACTATTACACTTTGCCTAAATATGACTAACATCAAAGCCCTTAAGTCCTTTAAAAGTAACTCCTTGCCCAAGAAGATGTCCTCTCGGTTCTATAGGGAATACACCCAGGTCAATGAATATAGGATTGCAGCCTGTATATAAAGACATCTGTATAGAAAAACAGAAAATAAATGGAGGGGGTTCTGAGATGGTAAGAATTGTATTTTGAAGGGCTTATAAAGATGTTACCATTAACATACAAAGCATTTCCATACATTTCCTTTTTAGAGCTGAACCACTAATTACTTTGTTTTCTGTCTTACAGCGGGAACAACATACATATTTAGCAAAGGTGGTGGACAGATTACATATACCTGGCCTCCCAATGATCGGCCCAGCACCCGAGCAGATAGACTGGCCATTGGGTTTAGCACAGTTCAAAAAGAAGCCATCTTGGTGCGTGTGGATAGTTCGACTGGGCTCGGTGATTATTTAGAGCTGCATATCGTAAGTATCGTCAGCAAAATGTAATGCTACTATTTGTCTGAAAGCTTCGATTTTAGTTTTTGCAATGTCCTTTTCTGAAATTGATCTCCTACCATTGAATAACATTTTTCCAAAGCAATTTCAATCTGAGTTTTGGAAGAGATGTTATCATTAGCCCTGTTGGTTAATAGCAAAATACAAGAGTTTAAAGCATTTTGAACGGGCTGACTTCAGTATAATTTTAAAAGGCTGCAGATTTGGTTATGAATTGCTTTCATAAAATAGGATTCTCTTTGATTTATTGCAGTTATCTGTGAGATATGAAGCTATATATTAAATTAT